AGATGTTTGGATTGAATATATTGAGAACTTGAGGACATGCCTCAGAACTTGGTGGTTCTGTTTTAACGCCATTTTTAGTATGTGTAGCGGAAGGAGCATAACCCTTTATTTGTAGTTTAACTTCTTCGCGTCCTCAGTTGAAAAGTAATATTATCTAACTGCTGGGGTTTATGCATGGACCACATATTTGACAGTGTCTGGAATTTAGTGAGATCTCAATAAGTATTCGGATAAGGCAATGGCACCCCACTCCAGTACTCTTGCCTGGAAAATCCTATGGACGGAGGAGCCTGGCAGGCTGCGGTCCATGGGGTCGCTGAGAGTCGGACATGACTGAGCGACTTCACTTTCACTTTTCACTTTCATGCATTGGAGATGGAAATGGCAACCCACTCCAGTGTTCTTTCCTGGAGAATCCCAGAGATGGGGGAGCCTGGTGGGCTGCCGTCTATGGGGTCGCACAGAGTCGGACACGACTGAAGTGACTTAGCAGCAGCAGCATTAAGTATTACTTTCCTTTTTGACAGAGTTAAATATCAGGAAGTAATTCCCTTTAATTAAGAGTGTTGATGAGTTGGGTTCTAGTTAATTGAACTGTAATATGTAAATCAACTTAATTGTGTCCTGACTCTGCTAGATAAACAGCCAGCACCTGGTATGGTTTGGTTGCGCACCTGTATTTGTTTGATTTGGAAAAATTCTTTCCCCTTTTGTGGCTTTCTTAACACTGTGGATCCTTTACATCAGCCTGCATGCATTTTACATTTTCAGTTGAAAGGAGGGTTTTCAGTAGGTTTCATAAGATTTTAATCGTGGGACTTAACAGGACTGATTTAAATTAATCCGAATCAGTTGCAGACAACGGAACAATGGGCTGGTACCTCATCACTCTTTGTTTATTTTTCAAATAAAAGGAGAAAAATGGGAAGTGTTCCCAACTGAGTCACAGGCTGTGGTGGGAATTAAATGAGTAAACATCATAGTCTTTACAGTGAAAGATACTGGGTGGGAACTAGAGATCTAACTAGATCTAACTAGAGATCTAACTGCTAACTAGATCATTAGCAGTCACCCTTTATCATGTATTTCCCTTTGTGGGATGTCTTCCTAGAATGGCATGAGAGAAGAAAACAGAAAGACATGTTCATGACAAAGTAACATTGAAATAAGGGTGAAAGAGAATTGTAAGTCGAGTAAGGCAGGAGTAAAAAAATGCGTTGCCATGAGACAGCATAAAAGAGGCTCAAAGGAAACCCTGAGACTCTGTCAAAGCAATAATTTCATGAGACCATGCGGGTGGAGGCATCCTTATTTTTTTAAACGTCTTTATGGAATTTGTTACGATATTTCTTCTGTTAATTATATTTTGGTATTTTGGCTGTGAGGCATGTGGGATCCTAGCTCCCCAACCAGGGATCCAGCCTGCACCTCGTGCATTTGGAAAGTGAAGTCCCAATCCCTGGGAAGTCCCTGGATGTATCTTTATTCTGACAGTTATTTTCATACCATGGCCCTCACCTTAAAAATGTGTTCTCAGTCTTGAACACTATTGGCACTTTGGGCTGGCTAACTGTCGTGGGGGCCTGTCCTGTACAACATTGGATGTTTAGTGGCATCCTTGGACGATGCCAGTAGCACTTCACCTACTCTTCCACCCACCCACTAACCCCCCAGTATGATAACCACAACTGTTTTCAGACCTTACTAAATGTTCCCTGCCGAGCAAACATCACCCCCAGTTGAGAACCATTCTTTGAAAGGATTTGTTTCCACTACTTTATGGGTCCCCGAGGCTCCAACTTTCCTCTCAGGCCATTCCTTTGGCTAACCTTTGGGATCTCCCCAGCACTGCCTGGCTAAGCCACATTGGCAGACAGGTGGAGACCTCTTCAAAGAGGCCTGGGTTAATCCCTACAATGCTAGGCTCAGTGCCACATTTCCAAGTGCTGGGGCTGCCTAGATTAATTTCTAAGGTAATGTGAATCTTGTCTCCAGTGGACGTTGTCCTTCTTAAGTGTGTGTGTGTGTGTGTGTGTGTCTCTGTGGCTCCATGTTATGTATGTAGCCTGCCAGGCTCCTCTGTCCATGGGGTTTTCCAGGCAAGAATACTGGAGTGGGTGGCCATTTCCTACTCCAGAGAATCTTCCCAACCCAGGGATCCGACCCGCGTCTCCTACACTGGCAGGCGAGTTCTTTACCACTGAGCCACCTGGGAAGCTGATGAAATAAAGACAGCTCAGTTCTGTTTGTGGCGCTTTATTTACTGACAGTGAACTTGGAGAAAGGCACAGATACTTAGCTCAATTATTAAAAGAAAGCCTGTAGGTTATCCTCCTAGCAGAGTAGCCCAGAATTATTGCTTTAATACAGGCCTAACCACAAATGGAGGCTGAGAAGCCCAGAGTAGGGAGAGGTGAATTGCCAAGTGGTGTTTTAGGAAAACAAAGGCTTTGCAAGATAAAGCCTCCCCAGTTACAGGCTTCATGTTATTAATAACTCAGATGTCATATTCATGCCATTATTGGCAGCATGCATACAATTTAAATATTTTAGCTTCCATTATACAACTGGATCTACATTACTGACCTTCAAGGGCCCCATTCATAAGGGGATGAGGAAAGGGAACAATCAACTACTTCATGCAAGAGCTGGCCAGCAGACTGGCTTTCCCAGCATTGTCAGACAAACCAGGACACGGGGAGTGCTTTGGAGCCGTTCAGAACATGGCAGGGTCGAGACAGAGAATGATGGGGCTGCGGGAGCTTTCAGGGCAGGGAACGAGCCAAGGCTATTTTTCCTTTTGAAAAAGAGATATCCCACCTTTGTTCCAAGGGAGAATGAAATATCCATTAAGACTGGTGACACTGGGAATTTTGTTTCAGCTCAGCGCCTTTTGTTGTGACTCCAGGGCAGAGGCAAGGAATCTGGGGTGACAGGTTTCAAGCCAAGATGAGAAAGAAAAAGAATTCTTTCCAAGGATTTCTTCTATTGTCCCCTCAAGAATAAATATTTATAGAGAAAGTTCAAGTGAAGTCTTTTACAATGGTCACGGCTTTAAGACTAAGCCTTTGAGAGAGAACATGTAAAACTATGCTTAAATGAAGGGTGATCCAATTAGGCTTCCCAGGGAAAACCAAGAAACCTCAAGATAATTTCCTATGTAAAATCTAATTGTCTTCTCAAGTGGAATAGGAATACCACTCTGAATTATACCAGCTCCATAGACTGCAGCAAAAATGTACAGCCAAATTGGATTCTATTCTAAGTAATTAAGTTATTTCCTTCACAGGGTCTATAATTTGCCTTCAACAAATGTGATTTGCTTCAGAAAGATAAGACATTGCAATTTTCCTCCAAAATGGATCTTCTGTGCCAGAAACAATTATGAAAAGTAGACCAAATATTTCCTTAATTATATCCTGGTTATTATCTTTAGAGCGCATGTCTGGAGTGTCCTGTCTGTGTCACAGAGTAAGACAGGTAAGGCTGCTATAGTTTAGAAATTATCTGTAAATGGAGACCAGAGTTGAAATTTACTCAAGAGGCTGGAGCTTGCACAACGGTAGTGTAAATAGCTTTGGTTGATGTTACATAAGACTCCAGAATCTTGTGCAAAATGTGGGCAACGGGGAGCTTGCTTCAGTGGACCTTTCCTCTGAGCTCTGAAAGCACCAATTTAACTTTTATCTGCTTGGCTGAACCCTTGAGGTGCTAGATGTTGCAATAGATTAAGAATAAGTGTTGAGATTTGCATAGAAGATACTGCAAGAGGGGTATTTTGGGCACAGTTAATTTTATGAAGAAAACATTCACTTTTGGCTTTATTTTCAATAACAGTTCAGTTGACTTGTTACCAGGTGTTCTGGGGGACAACAGTGGGTAATGGTTAAGAGCAAGGGCTGGAAGGATGAATGGAGTAAGCTCCTGGTATGTCCCCTTGAAAGTACATGTTATGGCAAGTCTCTAAACCTCAGTTTCCTCCCCCGTCAAAAGGATGTGATGACATCCAGATTGAGAGGAGTAGGTGAGAAGAGCATACAGTGCCTGGCTGGCACAGATCTGGAGTACACAAGGTGAGGATACTAGTAAAATCTAAGATGTGGGATTGCATACCTTTCCTTTTTTATGCACATCTATCCTTCAGGAATATTATCTTTCATAGGAATATGAACTGGTTGGATATTTCTAAAGTTGCATGAATTAAGAGTTACTGAAGTCACATTGCCTGGTTTGAAATATTTGTTGTTCTTACTTACTATACTTTGACCAAATCACTTAGGCTTTCAATAGCTTGGTTTCATGCTCTACAAAATGTTAGAACCTAGCAGAGTTGTGATAAGCATTAAGTAAAATATGACAACTAAATACCTAGGACAGGATCTGACATGCCATACATGTATCTATTATTGTTATTTTTGACTTCTGCCAGCCAAAGGAATGTCAATAGAAATCAGAACATAACATTAAGTAGGTTTATCATGTAGTTTTATTAACAACTTAATTAATACAAGGCTGTACATTGTAGGTATGGAAATCAATCCACTTCTGAAAACTGAAAAACCAGCATTTCCATATCACTTCAGGCTTTGGTTATAAACGCCATCTTCTACAGCAAAATCACATGGTATAACCAAAGAATTTAAGAACAGGAAAAAGAAAATGTTCCACTGGAATGGAGAGATCATTTATTTACAAACAGCTGAGAATCATTTCTAGCTTAAGTGATTTCACTATACACACTGGAATGTTCAGTTCCCTTTTCTACGGTCCTACAATGACATACAGCAACTAAGAACTTGGCCACAGGTCCTGCCTAGACGCTTATCAACATGAAACAAAAAATATTTATATAAATAAGTCAATTGAACCTCACAAAAACTAAACAAATACAAGAAAAAACTCCAACAGTCAATAAAAACTGTACAGTGTTGGTCAGTCTTTTACATCTGAAAAAATGTGTAACTTCAAAAAAAAGTTCTTTAATATATAAAAGTCCAGTGTTAGCTGGAGTGAAAACTCGAAGATTCAGACTCGGTTGAGACAGAAGAATGTCCACCTCGCTTGCCCTTGGAGAGAATCTTCAGGCTGGACCCTCTGCTCACAGAGGTAAGTGCATGCTGGGCAGAGGTTTTAAATTTGGCCCCAAGGAAGGCATAGAGGATGGGATTCAGGCAGCAGTGAAAAAAAGCTAGGGCCTCGGTGATGGAAATCCACTTATGCACAGTGCTCTCAAACTCACACCCTTGCTGGATGATTTCTAGAAGGATGAAGGAGTCGATGCTGATCCCAATGTAGTAGGGCAGCCAGCAGGCGAAGAAAGTCAGGATGAGGATAACTGTGGTCTTGAGGGCCTTGCGCTTCTGGTAGCCCTTGGAGTGGGACAGCTTGGAGATGATAATGCAGTAGCAGGATAGGATGACGATACCAGGCAGGAGAAGGCCGACCACAATGTGCTGAAACTGAAACACCACTAGCCACAGGTCGCTGGGATAGAAGCGATCACAGATGTACCTCTCATCTGCCACCTTGATGTCGGCAAAGATGAGATCAGGAATAGTCAACAGGACAGCGGGTAGCCAGACACCAACATAGACCACCTTTTCAGCCAGCAGCTTCCTTGGCCTCTGACTGTTGGTGGCATGGACGATAGCCAGGTAGCGGTCCAGACTGATAAAGGCCAGGATGAGGACACTGCTGTAGAGGTTGACCGTGTAGATGACATGGACTGCCTTGCAGAGGAACTTCCCAAAGTACCAGTTTGCCACAGCATCAACTGCCCAGAAGGGAAGTGTGAGGACAAAGAGGAGGTCCGCCACAGACAGGTGCAGTCTGTACTTGTCCGTCATGCTTCTTAGCTTCTTCTGGTAACCCATGACCAGAATGACCAATCCGTTGCCCACTATGCCAGTCAGGAAGATGATGGAGTAGACAGTGGGCAGGAAGATCCGGTTGAAATGGGCATTTTCCTCCCGGAAGCAGGGTTCCTTCATGGAATCATAGTCACCTGAGCCCATGTCTTCCTCGGTGTAATTATCGGAAGTGAATATCTGAAAAACAGGCAAGGGAATAGACATTCACTTTCAAGTACAGCGGGCATTCTCCAAGTTCAAAACAATGTTTCTGGTATTTTAAAAAAGCCATTTGTAAAAACCAACTCAGTCCAGCTTTCTCCAGGAAGTTCTGCTCCCACTAAAGTACCGGGGTAGAAAGAACACAAGGGAATTCTAGACTCCTGCTGACCTCCTCCCATCTTCCCCCCACAGTCACTTTATTACATCCCTCTTTAGGAGGACCAATTACAAAACTCGTTGTTTAAAACAAAACGGCGATGAGATTCTTTGGGTTCCAAAGTCTCATCTTTGCTAACTCTTTTGCCCCGCCCACTGGAGAGAAGAAAAAAACCTCCGGGGTGAAAAACCAAAACAAAACACAAAGGCGGCGTGGGAGCGTGGGTGGAAGTGGGGGAAGAATCTCGTGTTCTGAGGAGCTGGGATTAACTTTCTCTACGAAGATTCGCCAGGACAGGGGAGCCGGGAGGAAGAAGCACTGCGGGGTGTGTGTGAAAGGGCGGGGTGTCCCAAAGACTCTTATTCTAAGGCATGAAACACTGTTTTCTCCACGACTGTCTAAACACCTATCATTCTGCACTTCAAGCAACACGTAGTGAGGAAGGAGAATGCGGCCTTGAATAAAGGGCTTTGGTGCTTGGGGGCAGGGGTGTCAGAAGTGGGTAACCGTCCCCCGCCGCCCCGCCCATGGGCGCTCTTCAGGGGCTTGCGTTTCTTTGCCAAACCTCTGTTTATCACTTGGCGCGTCTGGGAGGTTAACGGGCACAGAATTTTAATGGGAGGGGAGAGTCACGGGGTCTACACCCGTGGTCCTTGCCCCAAGTTTCATTTCCTCTCTCCCGAGTCGCTTCCCATCCCGCCAAGGATCCCGTAAATGGGGTGGGAGGTCTGCAGCGGGAAGCCTCCGGGCGGAGGGCGCGCTGGGGACAGGTCCAGCTCCGTCACCCCTCGCCGTCCACCAAGCCCACTCCTGCCGCCCGCCCACTGCGGTTCCAGCGGTTTGGCCCCGCCGCACGCCAGGGGCAAGTACTGCTGGGTGCTGGGGAGAGGCTGGGCGGCTCCGCCGCGGGAGCCTTTGAATCGCGCGCCGCTGGGGGAAACGAAAAGCCTCCCTAGTACGGGGTTTTCAAAAGGTTCCAGGAAACCGCCGACGGTTGAATGGCGCAACTGGGCGCGGTGAGAGGCAAACCGTCTCCCCACTTGCACCTGCCTGTCTGCACCGCTACCACCGGCAGCCCAGGTGCCCCTCCAAGCCCTTCATTCCACCCCCAGTCCCCGCCGCACACACCTTGGGGTGCTGCTGCACTGTAACTATTTACACTCCTTCAACTTCTGCACGACCCCAAAACTCCAGAACCCAGGAGCCCACTCGCGGCGCTGGCGACGCCCACGAATTCTCTCCCTCGATCCCAAGGCGCGCGGGCTGTTCCCGGTACCTCCTCCCTGCTGCGACCAACGCGCAGACAGCTCAACTGAGCGACAAGTGCCCAGTCACTGGCACAGCTCCGCGGGCAGCGGAGTTTAGTGAACACGCGCCCAACGCCAAGAGTGGTTCCCAGGCGCCTTTGCCTGAAGTTAACCAGGGGAGTAGTCTCCCTCTGGTAACTGCCCGGGAGCACCGCCCTCCACCTCCAAATTCAGATCGTGTAATTTGCTCCAAAAGAAACCCCCGCTCCCTCGAGGAAGAGACCCCCGGTCTCCGGCAGAGCGCTCATCTCTGCACTTTTCCACAGAGAGTTCTTCTGTTTGCAAACAGCGTGCAAAACCGGCGCGCGCCGCAGAACTCAGGGGGGGAGATACATGCAACCATTGAAACGGTCGTCCCAATCTTTTCTACTACTACTTTGAAAAATATTTCAGTCCAACCTGCCTCTCCCCTCCTGTAGCCAAGCGCACGAAATCTCCTTTCCACATCCCTTCTCCGGGGCACTGGCACCTGCAATATTCTGGTTGCTCCAGCCCACTCAGACAGCGGTTGCGCTATAAATTCAGGTGTTTGCACGTTTAAGTAAAAACAGGTTGAAACTGGACTTACACGGATCCCTTCCATGGTAACCGCTTGCTCTCCAGCCGCGGGGGCTACCGGCTACTCAAGTCCTCAGGGTCACTTTGCTACCTGCTGCCACAGCCAACACACTGAAGTTTCTGGCCGAAGCTGGACTTTTATAAAAACACGCTCCGCGGGCGGCGCATGCGCCGCGCGGGTGGGCGGGAGGGCGGGGCGGGGAGAAAGGCGGGGTGGAGGAGAGGGGCAGACGCGGGGGCGGGGGACGCGAGGGGGGGCGGAGGGGAAGGCGCTCGGGCAGCGTAAGCCTGGGAGGCCCTCAGCGGGTACCTTTAGCTCTACCTCGCCGTCACCTCTTGAGTCTTAAGCTGGGACGCGCATCCCGGAGGCGTGTCCCAACTTGGGAAAGCAGGATGCTCTTGGAGGAGGTGGAAAGCGCGGGCGATTGACGCGCCCTGTGTGGCGCGTCTATCCTTGCTCACGTGGGTGGTATTGCTGACCCGGGAAAGCTACAGATGAAGACACTGAGGTCCAAAGAGGGGAAGTGATTTGCCGGAGAAACCCGACCAGTAGGCGGCAATGCTAGCAGTGGGTCTAATATCTTGAGTCCATTCCCTGCTCTTTGAGCAGATGCGGTTCATTCAGAAAATGAAACAAGTAAAGATTCTTTCTTCAGAGCACCACCATATATAACTAGACATGCACATCCATCGTAATAGTGCCAGAGTCAGGTGTCGACAATCAGGAAACCTTTTCAGAAGAAGGTCGGATGATTTGGCATAATTCTGGAGGGAGATTGTGATAGAGAAGTAGATGTGTGTTCCCAGGTAACCAGTTTGTGAATAGTGCTTTTAAGAAAGTGTGCTGTTATAAGAGATACTCAGCGAATAGTACTTCCCTAACATGACACCAGGTAGCTGCACAGATTCGTTCATTCTCACAACACCCTGTAGGTGTTATCATTACAGAGATGCATTTAGTCAACAGATAATTTAGTGAGGGCTGACTGCATGCCACGCACTGTTTTAGGAGCTGGGGATACAGCGGTGAACCTGATAAGGCCCCCATGCGGAGGAAACAAGAAGCAGATCTAAAAACAAAAACAAAAAAAACAAGAAGCAGATCTGTAGAGATGAAATTCCAGGGTTGCCCGGAGATTACAAGCCGAACTCAAACCCAGATCTACGGGCCTCACATCCGCTGTCCAACCCAATGTGGAGAACAGGCGTTGGCAACAGTAAGAAATTCGGTTGGAGAGCTAGGCAGGGTGGAATAAGGGTGGGGGCTGGACGCTTAAAGGTGTCTCAGACGGCTGGGGTTTGCAGTGGGCGCTCAGACGGTGCTTACCAGTCTCGCGCCGCTGGCCGCCCGTCCACAGAGCCTGGCTGGGGCGGGGACCCAGGGAGGGGCGGGGCCGATGAACAGTGAGACCGGCGAGGGCGACTGCAGGAGTGAGTGACGGCGGGGACCGGGGTGTGAGTTTCGGCTAACGACTGGCGGGAGCAGTGGTTGCGTTACCAGGAGGACCCCGGACACCTCGCACCCTGGGACCGTCGCCAGAAGAAGGCTTGCCCAGACTGGACCCTAAGCACCACTTCCTTTTCTTCCTGACAAAATCTTTCAATCTGGAGATATTCCCGAGACAATGTGTAGACTGGGAATCCTTTCTTCACAGAGCATAATTTTTATCTTTTTTCTGGACCCATTCCCTAATATTTGCCAGTGAAGGTTCTCATCCACTGAAAGCTGATGTTGGAGTTTCTAAGAAACTGTCAATTTAGGTCACAATAATGATTGGATACCGTCAATGATATTATGATGCAGATTTTTAAAAAAGTCTTAAAAACACTTAAAATCATTAATAAAACATCAGTACCTTCACATTTTCATAAGCTAGGTAGGACAGGCATTCTATCTGCTGAAGGGCTGGAATTTTAGACAGGTTCCATAGGTTGATTTTCAAGAAGATTGGTGGTGGCAGAATCAATGTTTTGACTCAGAATGTCAGCTGCATTGTACCTCAAACTCTTATCTTCACAATGGCTAACACCTGAAAAGCAGAATCTCCCAAACCCACTCAAAAAGAGGAGAGAGGATAAATCCAGAGTAAAATGATTTGCATATTAAATATTTGTTGATTGTTTGCAGACAAAAGAAAGCTCCTATTCTTTATCTGAGAACTCCTTTAGATCCTTTTAGGTATATTGCTAGAAGGAAGAAGATAGTTAAGAGAACAATTGAAATGCTATTTCATGACTGTCAACTTAGGAAAAAAAAAATTTCTTTCCAAAGATAATATTGGGTCTCAGGATTTGGTAAGACCAACTGTCTCTCGCTTGTGTCTGGGGGGAATGTGGGTTGGACCTCTTTGTGGAAAATGTTTTATATCTAGCAGGAATCTTAGAACAGTAATTCCACCTGTAGAAACTTATCCTAAGGAAAGAGGATTTTGCAACAACAACAAAAAATATATTCACAGAGGCTTTATTTATAATAGTGAAATATCTGAACAGCCCTAAATGTCCACTGTTGGTGGAATAGTTGAGAAAATATTGGTACATCCATATGTGAAATTCCATATGGCCATTGCAAATGATGTTTGCAAAGAACTTTTAATGACAGGGCAAATATTTATGAAACATTAGGTGCAAAAAGCAGGATTCCAAATTGTGTATACAATGTGATCTCAGTTAATTTAAAGCTAGGAGAAGATTGAAAGAAAACAAAAATGTTTATAGGAGTTTTCATTGGGTGCAAAATTGTATTTGATTTTTAACTTTATTCCTTGCGTTTTACTATGCTTTCCAAATTTCCTGTAATAGACATGAAATATTTTCATATTCAGGAAAAAGCCAATATGATTTAAAAAAAGAAACAATCCCTTTTCATACCTTTCCACTTCCTAAAGTATTTGCTAAATATGATAACTTTTTCTGAGTTTCCTCTTCAGAGAATGGTCTTGCACCATTTTCCTCTGGGCTAATCCTACCTGAACTGATTTTTATTTTACCTCTTTAATGTTCTTCAAAACAGAGCAGTACATAAAACTCAAAGATTTTTTGAAGGCTTGGATTATGCAGCTGACCTCATGTAATCCCCTCAGCAACCCTGTAACACGTACCACCTCTTCCCCACTGGTAAGCAGACATAAGTCCAGAGAGGGTGAGGAAATTGGCTGTGATCACAGTGGGGATCTGCACGTAATCTGCGCAGCGGCAAAGCCCAGGCCCTCTCCTCAGCATCTCAATGTGCCTTTTCTGACTGCGGAGATTCACCCTCTGGACTCCCTCCTCTGAAAGTCGTTCAGCCTTTACTTACATACAGCTTTGAGTGGCATCTTTTTTTGTGTGACATTGTGTGAAAGCGTTACAAATTTTTAGGTGCTCAGTCGTCTCTTTGCAACTCTTTGTGACCCCATGGACTGCAGTCCACCAGGCTTTTCTGTCCATAGAATTCTCCAGGAAAGAATACTGGAGTGGGTTGCCATTCCTTTCTCCAGGGGTCTTCCTGACCCAGGGATTGAACCTGGGTCTCCTGCATTGCAGGCAGATTCTTTTTTAACCATCTGAGGCACCAGGGGAGCCCCTTGTGTGACATTATTCCATCTTAAAATGAGTGTATTTGTGTGACGTTATTCCATTTTAAAATGAGTGTATGGCTTTTCTCCTCAGCCCCAAATATTCTAGGTTCCTTAAAGTGAATGCGCAGATATCTTCTGTGCAGCTAGCCCACTGATAAACAAATGATGGGCTCCCTAATCTTTTTCTGAAGCTTTGTTTAGTGAATTAGTGACTTTCCTGTGTGGTTCTGGCAACAGAGCTAGGCCTAGGGGCTGTCGGCTTGGCAGGATCCCCACGTTCTCAGGCTGGCTTTAGCCCAGGGAGTAACTGGTCTTGGCCATGGTTTGGAGGGGATGCTTACAAATCCAGTGACACAGTGGCAAGCATTCTGCCACCTCCTGTTGCTCTGCAGCTGGTTGGTTCGTGTGTGAGTGTGTGTACACGTGTGCATATCTGTGTGTGCATGAGAGAAAGCTGTACTGTGTCCCCAGATAGGTTCGGAGCCAGTTGGGGACAGAAAGCTGGGGGACAGACCTCCTCCTGATGGTGGGTGGCAGGAGGCAGCATTATTAAAGGGTTTCTGAAAGCACCAGGTCCCCCTGGCCCCTTGCTGTCTCCTGCCGGGTCTCTGAAAAGAAAAATTGCCACTTTTGTTTCTGACGGAGAAAAAAACATACAAACTTCCTTGATGGCAGTACGAGATACTGCCATCAAGATAATATTTTCCCAAGTAATGTTTTAAAAAGGAAGCTATTTCTCAAGGGCCATGTAATTCTGGCAGAGGGTTACAAATCTCAAAGTGACTGTTATTAAGTGTCAGCAACTTCCAAGTTGATATTAGGTGGGAGAATGGTCTGCCACCACACTGCCACTGCACATAGCCCCTCTCCACCCCCAACTCCTTGTCTCCAGCACCTACGGGTAAAAGATGACTTTGGTAAATAAACCGAAGTCTCGCATCGTTCAGCTATATACCAAGTTAGGAAAATTATTACTGTTTTTCTGGGTATATTTTTATCCCAAATTCAAGTCATATCTTGAATTTCTAAAAGGTCTGATTTTGATAAAGTGAGATTTATTCGTGATTTCCATCAATTCTCTGTAGCAGTCAAGAACAATACAAAGAGAAAAGCTAGACTGGTAAACAAACACAGCCAATTTAGAGTCACCCTGGTAGGTAATTTTAACAAAGCAGTCACTTAATTAACAGTGCAATGATCATTACTTGACTAGTTTCACTGCCAGGAGGATGCATTGCTCGCAGAGTTTGCTGGGCTCATGTGGTAGGTGCAGTGTGACTTTCTGGATCAGAAGAACAAACAATAAACAGACTCAGTCCTGTTACCTCAAAAATTATAGTGTCTAGTTGGGAATGAGGGCACGACTTTAGGAAATAATTGAGTGAGCAAACTCTGTTCCCCATGGAAAAGGCTTGTCATTGTTTTCCTTAAACCAGTAATTTATTGGCAATGACCTCAGGCAGCT